GGAAGCAAATCAGATCAGATGTTGCAGTAGTGGTGGGAGTAGCTGTACAATCTCTGCTCATATGCCCGGTCCGGCCGTACTTCTAGCAACCGGCACTCCCTGCCTTGCACGCCCCATCGTGCAATCTGCCACACTTGCCACACCTAATGTGGCTCTGCTGTCCTCTAGATCTGTGATCCGATACTTTGGGATTTTTGCCCGAACTCACTGTACCAGATGTCGCCTCTGGCTTCCTCTTCTTCTCCATCTCCAAATCTATATCTCTCTCTCGAGCCCTCGCAATCATACATCCAGCGTTTTACAGATGGATTGGCTCACAAACTGGCGGATATCACTCCGCAACATCTCATGATAACGGGCCTTCTTCATTTCCCCATCAGCTGCGTACTGAGGAATGAGAAGAGCCCTCTCCCTGAGCTTGGCGGTAATCTCCGCCACTGTCTCTGTAGTATGGGTAAGATCCTGAAACTCCCTAGCTAACTGTTGCACCTCAATAACCGGTGCAAACTCGGCTCTGAACCTGGTAGTAAAATCAGCCAAGGTCATCGCATCAACAGCTGCGTCATCTCTGATAACATGCCCAATCTCCTCCCACCAATCTCGTGCCCTGTCCTTCAGGAGACACGATGCTAGTCTGTGCTTGTCCCCTCGGGACATCTTCTGGTGCGGAATGCATTGGCGACATCCGCCAACCACCTGGTACTCGCAATGGGATCCCGCGCCCCATGGTAGTCAGGAGCTCCACATGCTCTAAACTCCCTAAACGTGAGGGTGCGAGTAACCTTTGAAGATAGGAACCCCCTCGGGACATCATGGCCGCCAACTCAGCACGGAATGTGCTCAACTTCTCGTCCATCAGCTCTAAAATACCCTCCTTGATCGAACTGAAGATCACAGGAGTCTGCTCAAGTATGGTGCGAGAAACCTCTGAAGATAGGAACTCCCTGGTCTGCTCATCTAGATGCTCGGCCCCCGAGCCTGATCCCGATCCCTCGTCGGCTCCTGAACTGCCGACTGCTGGCCTAGGGCGTAAAACCACCATTTTGAAATCACATCATGATAAACGTCAGAAACACTGATATATCTCGAGGGATCGCTACTACTTACAAGTTCCCTGGTCTCATCTCAGCCTTCCTTGGTTCAAGTACGAATCCTATGCTTTCAGTAGTACGGGACCATACTACCTTCCACATCTATCTGTACTTTCCTCAAGGACTACCTTGACTCCACCAAGTCACTTCTACGAGTACTGATCTCTGCTACTCTGATCCTAGGCTTGCCCTAGGGAAATCTATGACTCCACCCCACCCAGTCCTCAACTGCTGAAGGCCTCCTTGTAATGCCACTTAGCCATCACCTGAATACCAACACATGTGACGAGGCTCAGATAATCCTTTGAGTAAAAGACTCATCCCTACAACAGTTAGACTCAGACAAGAGCTACGTAATAGGGCCAAATCCAGCACTCTGAGATTATTCAACCCTGATCACATGTGACGTGACGTATTCACCTAATGGCTAACTCCCATCACTCAGAGTCCCACAAAGCACAAAGCAAGCAGCATTCAGACACAGGAAACTACTCAAGCAAATCTATCCTCATAACAAGAAACTGTACTAGCATACAATGCTAAGCTCATACTATCAGGCATAATCCTAACAGGCTATCCTACTATTGTCTACTCAATACTAGCATGCAATTCTCATAAAGCTAAAATACATAGAGCAGGCACATAAGGCATCCTCCTAGATCCTTAGTCCTATTCTAGCATGCTGTTCTACTGAAACTGAAACTGATAATCATAACATAAACTTGTACGGGTAATTTGGGAGTACTTACTTGAGCTCGGCTGATTGCATGCACCACATCCTTTTTTTTAAAGTTCTTTTCTTTCTAAAAATTCTTTCTGCTTTTTCTAAAACTCTTTTCTTTTCTCAAAACTCCTTTTTACAAAAATTGATTTTCCTTTTGAAAATTTCTATACCAATTCTTTAGTTTGAGTTCAGACACACCCAGAAGTGCGTCCGAATCCCTCCAACCAAGGCTCTGATACCAACTTGAAACATCCCAAAAATACAACCCAAAAAATTTTGGGTTGTATTTTTGGGATGTTTCAAGTATGCACTGAAACTTGTTGAAGGTAGCCTTGTTGAACATTATGGTAAGCTATGGTCATATGGTCATGAGATTTTAAGGACAAATCCTGGGTCAACTGTGAAACTAGATATGGAGGATGGTCTAGATGGAAAGACATATTTTAGCAAGTTCTATTGTTGTTTTCAAGGAGCTAAACAAGTTTGGATTGAAGGGTGTAGAAGGATAATTGGTCTTGATGGATGTTTTCTTAAAGGTGTTTGTAAGGGGGAATTGCTTTATGCTATTGGGAGGGATGCAAATGACAAGATATATCCTATTGCTTGGGCAGTGGTTAATGTGGAGAACAAGCAGAATTGGAAGTGGTTTTTAGAGCTTCTCATTGATGATCTAAACTTGAATTTAGGCAATGGTTTCAGTTTAATGTCAAACCAACATAAGGTTAGTATTTTACATAGTAATGCATTTATATTTATTTTACACTATCTGAATTAAACCTTTGTACTACAGGTTTTGATAGAGGTTGTTAAAGAGTTGCTGCCATATGTAGAGCACAGGCAGTGTGCTAGACATATTTTCCAGACTTTACAGAAGAGATTCACTGGTGCCATATATCATACCTTGTTTTGGAGAGCATCTAAAGCCACACTGAGCATGCTTTTAAAGTTGTGATGAAAGAAATTGAGACATTGAACCCAGATGCCCATCAATATCTCATGGAGAAAGATCCTAAAACATGGTCAAGAGCTTTCTTTCAAACTGGAAGGTGTTATGATGCAGTTGAAAATGGGTTCTCAGAAAGTTTTAATGTTGTAATAGTAGATGCCAGGAAGAAGCCCATAATAACCATGTTAGAGGAGTTAAGATTATACATGATGGACAGAATCTACAACATGAAATTAAAGGGACAACAATGGGAAATCATATTTGTCCAGATATAAGGGATAAGGTGAATTTGCTTAAAAAAGCTCAAAGGCATTATCTGGTACTACCAAGTGGATTAAACCAGATTGAGGTAAGGGGAGCAACAGATGCATATGAGGTGGACTTAGAAAGGAAAACATCTTCATGTAGGTTGTGGCAATTGAATGGATATGGATGTGCTCATTTTGTAGCTAGCATATCCTTTCTTAATAGGGATGTAGAAGCCTACGTAGACAACATGTTTAGCACAACCACATTTAGGAAGGCATACAATTACAGAATTGCTCCCATGAATAGTAGTGACATGTGGCCAGAGACAAACTATAGTCCACCATTGCCTCCTATTAATAGAAGGATGCCTGGTAGGCCAGCTACTAAGAGAAAGAAATCCACTACAGGGAATACAGGAACACATAAGGTTTCTAAGGCTAGAAAGAAAATCAGATGTAGTATTTGCAAGGAGATAGGTCACAACAAGGCCACTTGTCCACAGAGAAGGCCCCAAAAGTTAAATGTGAAGAAACAGAAGAAACAAAAAGTTTGTGTGAAGCAAAATGCAGGACAGTTAAAACCATTTAAAATTAAAATTTATTTACATATGATTTGTTACTAACATAATTATATCATGCCATATAGGGTAGTACAAGTGAACCACAACAACATCAAGAGGTTGAAATGACTCCAATTGAGATGGATACTACTCAAGATGATATGCAAGTTACTCCTACTGATGTTGAATCCAGTAGTGCAGGGGATTTTAGTCATTATATGCAATTTACTCCACCTAGATGTTATGAAGGTGATGAGGGTGTTGTGGGTGAGGAAGCTGGTGTGGTTGAGGAAGCTGTTGTGGTTGAGGAAGCTGTTCAAGAAGAGGAGGCTGAGGAGGTTGATCATGTTATCCAAGTTGATAATGTTAATGTTCAGGAGGTTGATCCTGTTATCCAAGTTGATAATGTTAATGTTCAGGAGGTTGCTCCTATTATCCAGGTTCAACAGGTAAGTGTTAGGCCAATTTCAGAGATTTTGAAGAGGATAAGGAGAAGAAAGTCAGAGAGAATATTAAAGCTGAAATTAGGCAAAACAATTGGTGGTGTTGATGATCCAGGAAATTCGAAGGGAAAAGCTCTTGTAATTGATTAGTGTTTATTGTAATTTGGATTTAAAGTTTATGTAATAGGATGATGGTAATTTGGATTTCAAGTTTATGTAATAGGATGATGGTAATTTATATTTAAAGTTTATGTAATAGGATGATGGTAATTTATATTTAAGTATGTATGAAAGAAAAGGGTATTTTGGTCATTTATTTATGTATGACAGAAAAGGGTATGTTGGTCATTTATTTATGTATGACAGAAAAGGGTATGTTGGTCATTTATTTATGTATGACATGAAGTATGAAAGTATGTTGCCTTTTTAAGTAAAATCATGACATTTGGCTTTGAATATTTATGCATGGAAAAAATTGGAATAATGTGCATGCATGGGAATGTTTTATATGGTCCTGGATATGGTTCTATAATGGCTTCACAGGTCCCATTTTTCATTATTAAAACACCCACTGACTACAAATGGTCCCCATACACATATTGTACTTCCACATGGACCACTTCTTCATTTGTTCCCAAATTTAAAATATGCACAACAACCAATCTAATTAAATATATTTGTTGGGAATACAGGCCATGCATATGTTTGATTAACATCAACATCTGATTATACAAAATGCCCTACAATTGGGACTTTGAATATTTTTTTACATTGCTTATCGTATGCCCCTTCATTAGGGACTTACCACCTTACAACATCAACACATCAAGGTTGATAACCCCAACTTATAACTAAAAGCAGCTTCAATACATACAAAATGCCCATCATTACTGACTTTCTAGTCTGCCTTTACAAAAAATACAAGGGATCCCAAAAAACAAAAGCTTACACTAACCAAGATAACTAACTACAATCACCCCCTTAACTTCTAAACACATAGGGCCAAGCAAGCAAACAACAGGGCAACTATCATCCTGTACCTACCTATTGCCTTCCTTGCATCATGAACTTCTTTCTCACTCTTTGCCACCTTATACTGCTCCTGTGACAGCAGAAACTCCACTTCAGCAATCCTTCTCCTCAAATTGTTCATCTCAGATAGTTCCTCTTTGGCATCCAGTTTCTGCTTCAGAGAATATAGCAGGTTTTTGTAGTACCCTTCTGCCTGTTCTTTATATTTCCATTCAAAGAAGCTATATTTCCTCAAGCTAGTCAATCAAAAGCCAATAAAATTAGGGTTTGATTGACAATCACAAATCAGCTACCTTTAATGTACCAACGAAATGGGTTTTATTCACAGTGATCGTCAAGAAGCAAATAAAATTAGGGTTTTTAACAGATGAAACAAAATACAAATACACCATTATCGTCTTTACAGAAAGAAACAACACATCAAACCATTAAATGCTAACTTATCAAAATCAGGAGAATCGGGACCTACCATGTTGTTTTGACAATTCCAGAATCGCCTCCCAGGGTTTGTTATCTTCCAACAGGTTTGTTCTTTAGCTGGAACGACTCAATCACAAATCTTTACCCCTTCTTGCGACTGAACATGAGTGACTTGTAGCTGATTCCTAGACGTCGATGAGCTCGAAGACATTCTTCTTCAGGACGGAAATAGTCGGGGTGGGGGAAGTCTTTGACTTTTCAGAGAAGGGTAAGTAAAGATTTAATGGAGGTCCGAATGAGGGTTTGAATTAATAAGCCTATATCGACAACTGGACTTCTTCGACGCATAAACTTCCCACGTAAGCTTATTGGACACATCAGCGTGCCAAAAAATTTGGGTTTTCCGGGTTTTCCAGTTCTAAACCCACTTTATCCGGTTCCAACCTACCCACTTTGACGTTTTCGGGTTTTCCGGTTCTAGACCCACTTTACCCGGAACCGAACCGGAACCAGTTCCTACATACTGGTACGGTTTCCGGTTCTACAAAATCCCGTTAACCGGTTCTGGGTTTGTCCGGGTCCGAGTCCATCCGGTCCGGGTTTGGACCCACTTTCATCCCTATAAGTAAGGTGTTTACAATAAGATTTCCAAACAGTATACTCAGTATACCAAATGGACCCTACCCCCGATATGATCTTACTTGGTTACTCCTTATCAGCTATAGATCAGTATTCATTTGGATTATTGACGAATCTAAACTATCATTACAATATTCGTGAGAAATATAAGACTAAGACTGTTGGGTTATGAGCATTCTAACACTCCTAAGTGTACATGCGACCCTAAATACCTTGGATCTATGTTTTCTCTATTATACATACAATTATGAACATCCAAGGTATTATCCTAATCTAGCATACAAAATAATAAATATAACAAGATAGAATACATACCTCTTTGATGTAGAATATCTTCATGAAGCTTGAGTGCCTAGTGCCCCAAGTGTGACACCTCAAATGGTTCACACAACACCAAATACACTTGGAATAACTTGAGAGAAACTTGAACACTCCTTGAAATCGTCTAGCCCTCACACTCACACATTAGTGCATGATTTCTTGAGCCATGGGATTCTTTTATATGGTGGCTATTAGGGTTACACCATGTAACTCATAACTATACCCATTCCTTATGCTCCATGGATTTTAAACTCCATGGAGTATCCATGGGTTACCCCATGGACTTAGTCCAACATAAGGAATCTTGGATCACAAGCCCACATATATAAGAATGAATGATCTACACAATCAACCCATATATTTAATTAGTCTCCTTTTGATCACTTAATTAATTCCAAATTAATTCTTGATCAATACTAATTAAATAACCTTATTAGTATATTAGAACTTATAATATATTAACCAACCTTAAGTGTTATTTCTCTCATTATAGTCTATCCAAATGCATGATGCCATGCAACCCAAATGGACCATGCCGGGTCGGGTCAAGTCTTACCAATTATAGTTATGGACTTAGACATTAATCCAACAGTCTCCCACTTGGATAAGTCTAAAACTATTATTGCGTATGACTTCAGGAACCGATCAGCAATCGTAGCTCTCAAAAGCTTCTATCGAACTCTGACCTTGTCGATGAACTCTGACCTTTGTCAATGACTTGTCCATTAGATAAGGGATCATATATTCATCCATTCTAGATATCATATGGACTGAGACATGGATTATCAATCATTCTCTCTATCCATTTGTTGTTTCCCGATTTCCGATTCATGATGACTGACTGATTGAACAAATCAAATCAGTCCTGGCTTGGCCAAGCACTCACATGTAGCATCTTTAAATCGTCGAGGGGCCCACAGATATCGTTTTTATCCCGAAGGTAAAAGGAATGGATAAACTTCGACTCATATGGCTTGTTCAACTACTTGTTGAATCATACACAAAGGCACGTTTTATAACATCGAGTTACCAATGCGTTTTCGTGCAATCAATGTATAACCAACTCATAGTAACAACTCATCTCTCTAGGTTTGAAGAATATAAGATATTATCGTCTCATGATCACTCGTGATAAAATCCATGAAGTGATTCAAATGAGCGCGGGTTGAATCCAATACTCAGAACTTATGAGCACTCAGGAGTGTTGTAGCACCACTTTGTCCACCAACTTGGACCTCTACAAACCAACCCATGACAGTCTTGATTCATATCTACTTCCAACATATGACCGACTGTGGATGGTTTGAATAACTTAATCATTCAGGAAGAGCGACTTAGTTATTCTGGAAGTCAAAACATGCAAAGTGAAACACAAGAATAAATGAATCAAATATGGTATCAAACCCTATGAATATAAATAAACACTTCTATTTATCACCATACTGATTACTCATTATTCATTGTTTCGGTTTTATCAACTTTATACTTGAATTTAAAACAATAGTTGTCCCATGCTCCAAGCATGTACACTATGTTTTCTAAACACTAGTCATGCCATACACCAACTATGCATACTATGTTTGTCTATGATCTTTACTTTCTAAAATAAATCAATTGAACATCACTCCAATGATCCTCTTTTCACAGTCCCAAATCCTTACTGCAAATGCAAGAATTCCAAATTCATGCCATTTACTGAAATCTGTTAGATTCTAAACTTATATGCATTGATCCTCTTAATGATTATGCACGAAGTCAGAAAGACTTGACAACAATCATTACAGAGCATTCCAAAGGAGATCAGCTCCTTGGAAACATCCTTCTTTCATTAAGTTTCCTAATCTTACACAGATTGAATAATTTCTAACTTTGAAACATTTCCATATTCCATTTTGACTATCACTTCTGAACAAGAGTTGCCTCCTTACAGATTATGTCAATATGGTCCTTCCAGAATTAACATTATACTTCCAACTGTCCTTGAGCAACCAATCTTTGGGAAACCTTAGATTGTCCTCGACAATTACTTAATCATTTTAGTCATATCCAATTCTAGACCTTTTCCCTTCATAATGCCCCAGGCATTTGGAAAATTTTAGAAAGGATAAATATAGCACATGTAATCGATCCTATATCAGAAGCATATGGGACACGATTCATGATGTCTCACATAAAGACTAAACCAGTCTTTTGCTATAATATTTCCATTTCAATTTGCCAAGTTCTCAAAATTCAGATTATGAAAAGGGATGTCGTAATCATAATCGAATTTTAGAACGCAAATAATGGACCCATATATAGAATTTCCTTATGTTGAGCCATTCCAACATGAAATTCATATATATATCCTTGATTAAATACGATTAAAATCTCAATCAAAGCTTTTAGAATTGAAATGAAGTATAATTTCCTCTCCCTTAATTATAGCAAAACAACTTTTTCAACCCCTGCGCCTCACGAATTGAAACTTTTGTTTTCTATAATTAACATTGCTAACTTGCAACCTTTGTCATAATGATCATGCTCCCACTAACATGATGATTATTAGCATAACACTTATGCTCCCACTAGCTTTGACATGTACTCAGAAATCAGCTGACTTTCTTACCAAAGTTCAGATTTCTGATACTAGATTGTTTTGATAAAACTTTATCAAAATCATACACCTCTCTTAGATAGCTCACATGTGTGTCTAAACAATTTTAAAACTATGAAAAGGGATGTCGTAATCATAGTCTCAATTGTTTAGACCTTTGCCACTTCTCACAAGTCCATGTTAGTGTGCCGGTAAACCACACACGCTCCACTAACGACTTTGAGAATGCAAATATCACAATTGCTATCTAGCTAAAATCTACTTAGTGAAAGTGTTTCCTCACCATCATTTTCATGAATCGGAGAGAAACCTTATGACACTTAGATTTAATAGTGTATGTGTTCTTATCCATGTGAATTTGTCAAAACCATAATCACAAGACAAGGTTAGTGACAAATCCAAACTCATATTGATTAAACTTGTGCAATCTTAAATTCTTGCCATTTGGCAGCTCAGGTGTCTGCCATTGCTTCCAAGTAGTTGTGCAACCAATTGAGAACTCTCAGAACTCCTATGCAAAGCCAACTTGAATAGGCACAAAAATTTCAACACGTTAGGTTATAAACCTCAAGTCGTGTGCTAGTGAAGGACTTTAGGTTTTATTCTTGATTAAGTCTTGAAACTTTCAAGAGCTTTAAGACTCCCACTGTCCTCTTGACATATAAGACTCCCTTGTCAAATATTCAAGAGATAGTGCGGATTCTTTATCAAGACTAACACTTTACACAATTGGCCTAAGTTGGTCTCTGTTTTATCCAAAACATCACAACTTACCAATTTCAAACGTACAAGAGTAGATAACCTTTTACTCTTACCTTTGACTAGTGTTAACAAACCCTCTTTAAGATATGTCACTCAAGTTACAATCTTGGAGTATGACTCTAAGAATTCTTTTGGAACGAAGTATGACTCATCTTTTTGATTTAACCATTTCAACAATTCATGACTCCTCTTCTTAGTCATAAGAGTACACTAAGATGATTTTAGAGGACCAATTGTGATATGGTATCTTAATCATTAAGATGATCATAAACATGATACTAAAGTACTCTCCCATCTTTTCAGATTTGAGAAACTTTTATCTTTCTGCCATACTTTGATTCTTCTTATTCGTTCTGTCTCACATTGAAACTTCTCCAATGCTACAGACTTATACTTAAACTTATAAGTATAACCATATTTACTAAACTTAAGTAAATCATGACGAATAGTCTTCTTGATCTTTTGTGGTGGACTTGACCAGTGCACAAGAATGTGTACTCGATCCCTTAGTCCTTTCCTTATTCACATAAGGAATTAGTCTTAATTTTCCAAGCTGAAAGTTCTCATTCATCATACTATACAAGTTGCATGATTCCAAGTTTCGGTCCAATTGAACCTTGGGTGATGAGAATCTTTCCTTATTTGGTAATATTAGACACTACCACAACCGAAAGAATCAAATCCATTTTTCCAATATTGCTATCAATGGAATATTATAAGCAACAACTTTTCACAAATGCCATTGTAAGGATACTTAAAATAAATAAAATCAAAACCTTTTTCTTTTATTTTAAAACTTTGCGGAAAAACTTATCCTTACAATCCATATGAAAACCTTGTTGTTATCTATTCCTAAGCAATATAAATATCATAACTCTTAAGTAATAGCCCAA